CAAATTTTCAGGCTAACAAGACAAATAATCTTACACATTCTGAAAACAAGATGATTATTCTTACACAATCAGTTCTTGTTTAGTAAATCAGTCTCAAACAAGATCAAAGACTTTTTGGCTGATATAAGATTTTAAAATTTGGTAAGATGGACATTTTTTGCAGTGTGTGTTTGAAACTGCAAGTTACAGTTTGCTGCAGTTTTGAGTGAAACAATAAAACATCCAGTAGAACCGTTGCTAATCTATCAGTAGCGTCAATAATCGATACAAAATAAATTTCTTCTTCCATTTTTTTTTAATACTTAACTTCTCAAAAAAAGTCTGAAAAAGAAATTTTAATCTTGTCCTCACATGTCGACGTTGTTTTGAGGTCCAGTTTTCAGAGTAAATGAAACAAACAAGCTCAGAAATCTCTGGGCTGGAAGTATTGATGTCTAAAGCACTTCAGCATTATCTCCGTCTGACACACACACACACACACACACACACACACACACACACACACACACACACACACACTGCACTTCCCCTTCCTGGTGGAGTGCAGGATGTGCAGCTAAAGAAGTAAGCAGTTTCTCTCCTCCCTGCTGTTGCCAGGAATGCTTTATGAGCCATGTTACCATCGACATTCTCCTGATTCAATCAGGCGACTCGCTGCCTTGTAAAGTCAGTTCACTTTATGCAGTCTCSTGTGTTCTGGACTCCCGAGCTCCATCCTGGCATTCAGGAAGTGGCCTATAGAGAAAGCGTGCGAGGCTGGCACGCAACCGCCTAAAAATAGCCGCCGCAATACTTCACAGAAATTTGTTGTTTTTTTGTTTGTTTTTTTGGTCAGTTTGCGCTGGCAGGTCAGATTTGAAGCTGAAACTGTAAGTTCTCGCTGAATTTGCAAGAGCTGCAGGGCAAAGATGTGAAGACAAAACGGTGARATTGTGAARGAGGAAGAGGAGGAGGAGAAAGTGGATATCAGGATATCAAAGGAGGAAGAAAGAAAACACAGTGACCTCACTGATAGCATCTCCTGCATCCGTGTTTACAGAGAGGAGGAGAGAGCTGCAGGGGAAACTTGAAATATGCATAAAGGCAAAGAAAAGAGTGGAAAGAGTTTATAAAGGAGGAGAGTTGGAGGGACTGTGGAGAAAGAGTACAAAAGAGGAGCAGAAAGACTTTTTTATAGACTTACCTATGGGTTGTGGCCGGTGGGATGGAGAAGTGGGGAGAGTCAAAGGGTCCTGGGGTGGTTTAGGTGGTGAGGGGTGGTCTTGAAGCCAGGCTGCAGCGTGGTCCAGGAGAGGGTGGGTGGAAGGATGGAGTGACAGGGAAACGGGGAGGCTTGAAAGGGGGGAGAAGTGCCGCCGCTTGCCTTCTCCCTCCCTCCCTGGTTTTCTCTCGTTTTTCCCTCCTCCAGTGAACACTTGCGCTCTGACCTGCTCGCTCCGAGGCAGACACTGAAACCAGAGTCACAACAGGCAGAGGAAGACTTTACATTTTACAAGCTCTGCCAAACGGGTGGGGACGGGGCCCCCCCTCCCAGCCTCCTTCAGGCAGCCAATGGATGGTGGCAGAGATGTGACCCATCAGCCAATAAAAGCTCCGCCAGCCGGTTTCTCACCCCAGCCAATAAGTGCAATAGCTCATATCCAGTTGGAATAATTACAGAATAGAAGGAGTCATGAAAAGCCCACCCCCCTCTGAAGGACACAGAGAGCCACACTGCTGCCAGGGACTGATTTAAGGCTGCCACTTTAGACTGATCAGATTCTGCAGTAAATCCAGCAACATATCACTACAACCTGACGTCCAGGAGAAGAAGTCAGCTGGAGTTTGATGAGCAGAGAGGTTACGACTCAAACACAGGAAACAGAATCAACAGAGAGAGAACAAACTAAACAGCCACCACTAAATACAAGAAACCAAGAGACAGTTTGTACTGAGAGAAGTCAGGTGCGATCATTTGGTATTAAAAAAACAGTATTAAATCAATTTAATTCAGTTTATTTTCATAGCATCAAGTCACAACAGTTTTTCYGCATTAGTTTTGGACAAGTTTCTAATTTTAGTGATATTCCGTAGGTGGAAGAAGGCGATCCTAGTAACATTTTTAATGTGGGGTTAAAAGGGGGCTTAAACATCCTCGCTGCAGGACGGAGCATTTCCATAGGTCATTCATTCCAACTGCAGTTAGACTGTACAACACATCATGATGTCATCAGTTAGACTGTATAACACATCATGATGTCATCAGTTAGACTGTACAACACATCATGATGTCATCAGTTAGACTGTATAACACATCATGATGTCATCAGTTACACTGTATAACACATCATGAAGTTATCAGTTAGACTGTACAACGCATCATGATGTTATCAGTCACTTGGACAATTCACCTACACTGCCATCACTAATATGCACCTTCATATACATTAATTTTTGTACTGTACTTTACGGTGTATATATGTGACCCATCAAATCAAAATGAGGATTAAGTCAAATTTGGTCAAAATGACCTAATTACATTTTCAGATTCCTGCTTTAAAAGCTACAGTTTGATACCTGGATCATTCTGA